AAAAAAAAAAAAAAAAAAAAAAAAAAAAAAAGTATGGTTTGTGAAAGAAAATAGGGGCCTAAATAATTCTCAAGTGCTGGGTAGTTATATTCTTTGGTAAAGATAAGACTGGACTGATTTCTAGTAAAGATCATTATTGTTTTAATTATTATTCCAACTATAAACCATGTTTTTGAGAAATGATCTAAACACCTTTCTTTTACAAACAGAGCATTCAGAGTAACCTTTACTAAATTACATCTTGTTTCTGGTAAGGTCTTAGCATACTGTGTATGTAGTCTTAAACTCTAGTTTTACAGATCAGTAAACTAAGGTTCAGAAAAGTGAGTTGTCTGCAATAACAGAGCTAATAAATATTTGGATTATTTTCTACATAGAAGTTCATTTCTCGCATTAGTACCTGAAGAGGTAGTTGGAGAAGTTTTGGGATAGCTTTGCTATCCCAGGATATCCAGACAGCCAGGTTCTTACAGCTTGTTGCTTTGCTATAGGCATTATGAGGTTGCTCTCCTCCCAGTGGTCTGAGAGGAAAGAAAGAATTGCGTAATCCCTTGAAAGACATGTTCTGGAGGTGAGTGCAATTTTCTTAATGGCAGAGTTCACGTCTCATTGATCCTTCTCTTCCCTATGGTGCCCTTTATGCAATAGGATCGTGATATTTTCTTACAGAGTTAGCTGTACTTATGCTTGTAATAAAGTGTGTTATCCTGGATAAGTCACTGCAGGGTAGGGGAATGTTTCCATTGAAATAAGGATAATTATAACTTTATTTGCATTATAATGCAGTTGTAAAGATAAAATAATTTGGAAAATGTGCTGCCAATTTTAGGATACTTGGTTTGTGAGGTTTCACTGTTGGCTACTTTGTTAGCAATTTAGAGACACTTAATCAAGATGGAATGGACTCCAGTTTGTATTGCATGATATTTATAGTAGTGTTTTGGCATACTGGTGCCAAATGTTTCATATTTCAGTGAAACATATACAATATCTACTATTGCTTATCTAAAATTTCATCGGAAGTTAAGAAAAGGGATTCTGGTTAATGTTCTTCATTCAGATGCCATCATAAGATATAAAACTACTGTTGCTTGATGGAGCAGAGCCTGTGTTGATTTTAATATGACCTGTGCCACTGACTAATGTTGTCCTCTAGGAGCAGGGATTTTCCTGATGTATAGTATACCAATAAGTAAGTTATTCTTCAGTAAATGAGACGCTTTTTTTTCCTCTTTGGATCATATTTATAACTCAAGGAGTGTATATCTCCAGCTAGCTCATACATGTTAGCCACTGTAGCCATCTGACTGTATGATCTTGACATAGAGTTTTCTTTGCTGTCGCATCTTCTAAACTAATACGTGTTAATGTGTAGTATACTAACACAGTACACCTGATAATTGTCTAATTGGCATTGCACTTTAAAATCCTATCTATTTATACTATCATCTAAGTTTTTTTTGAAATTTGATTATAGGCTTTAAATACACAAAGTAAAATTTTAGAGAATATATTTCAGTGAGCATACCTTTGTTTTCTCTGTGGCGGCCTACATTTACATATGTAGGAAATAAATAATTTGCTAGAAAATCTGTGTTATTATATTTGTACTATCATCACGATTCTCACAATTTAGTATTTATTGAACATTCATAGCATGTTAGGGGTTTTCCATTATACTGAAATAGTTTTGCTTCTTGTTAAACTAAATGTATAATAGAATATATTTTAGTTTTGAGTAGTTAACTGATTTTTAAGATTCTTATAAATTAGAAATAATGTCTCAGTTACTGTTGTTATTCCCATAACTCCCACCCTAATACTTGTTTGTCATTTAAGACATAAATTGTCACCTCTCTTGAGAGACTTTCCCTACAGTGCTCAGGCAGAAGTATCATTGCTTCTTTTGTTTTTCATAGAAAGTTTTTACTGTATCATTATGATAGTTGTTTTGTTTAGATACTTTTCTCTCAGCTAAAGTATGAGTTCCCAGATAGCATAATCTCCACAGTTCCTGGTTCATAATGGGCATCACAGCAGAGGTTTATTTGAATGAACGTATATTACTTATGGATATCTTTAACTGATATCTACATAAGGGATAGGTTGAGAAAACTGATACAATTACTGTTTTAGTTCAGAATCTCAGGTTATGTAACAAGGATGAATATGTAAAACATGAGGACTTAAAATTTTATGAGGTAAAGCATTATATATTGCTAGGCACCAAGAAGTATGTACATTTGAATAAAGCCTGCAAAGACTATCCCTTTGATTTTTATATCCCTGTTCATTTTAAAATAACATTTCTGAGGGGCTTTTCCCCCCTAGGTGAATCATTCATTCTTTGCATTATCCTAAGTGAGGGGCATGTCACTTTTTATGAGATACAGTGAAGTTAGTGAAGGCTGTCCAGAAAAATATAGTGTTAGTTTAGTATAAATCTGAGGTCCAAATCTGTCTAAAAGATTTTTATAGATACTTGACATCAACAGAATCCTTTAGAGATATCTTTTAAAGATATTTGACATCAACAGAATAATTGAGTTGGGAGCAAAAGAATATACCAAGTGGGAAGCCTGGACAGTATAGCAGGTGTGTATTTCCAGGCTCTTACATTTAATAGAAACTGAATGTAAGTGACAAGGATGGAATGGATCTAGCCATTAAAGCTAGTGAATGGAGATGAGAAGACAGAATTCTATTAACTTTAAGTGGAATTATATAGAATGAGCAATTTTATAGATAGATGTTTGCTTGATGCAAAATTAATTAAGAGTTAATAATGCTGCAGTGATTTAACTCACTTAATTGTATTTTAAACGAATCCTGGAAATAGAGAAACTTGGTAAATTTTTGTATTGGGATCGATGGCGGCGGTTGTCAGTGTTGCATTATTTAAGGTGAGAGGAGAATACGAGAACTAGTTTTTAACCCTATTTTAAAGGACCTAAGATATAAAAATAATTAAATTCTCTGATGAAACTATGAATAGTGTAGGTAATGTTTATCACTCTGTTTCTAAAAAGTCTATCAGTAAGGAAAGAGGAGGGAAAATTGATTTTTAAAAGGTATTTTCAGATTCGTTTTTGGTTATGATGGCTCTTGGGACTCCATTGATCATTTAATATTTTTCCTGCAATTTAGAGTTGTTTTCCCTCCTGATTCCTGTCCTTATTTCCCAGATAAGCGAGGACAGTCACTTGAGAGCTCTGTAATCAGTAGAAATTTGGATAATGTAATCAAGATGATGATGGCAGCTAGGAGGATGAAGCTGGGTCCACACTGTAGGATTCAGGCGGAGCCAAGGCACAGGTGGTAAATGCAAAACAGTTTCAAGAGTTCATCTGCCATTGCTGTTCTACCTCCTAGAAAAAGCTAGTGCTTTTTAAAAAATTGCTGTCAGAATAGTTTGATCCTGTCCACCTAGTTTCGATTAGCCTTGGAAAGCAACATTGTGTTTTCTCTCTCCCTTTCAGGACAAACTATGTTCCCTTTGGGACCACCTCACCTACCTTAGGAGGCAGCATCAGGCCTTCATAGGCTCTAAATTTGCATCCTACTATGGAAAAGATCTTTCCTTGAATGTTTGCATTTTCACCTTGAGAAGGTGATATATGTAGAGGATGGGTGTAGCAGCTGTAAATAAATATGATAAAGTAGAAGAGTGGTTTTGGGAGTTTTACTATATATACACATATATAATATTTTCCAGTCTGGTTTCAGACCCCGGCATGGCTTGGAGACAGCGTTGGTGTGTATGAAGGATCTTCCTCGAATGAAGGATTTGGGACAACTTTCCGTGATGATTATATTAGAGCCTCAGCTGCTTTCGTGTTGGTCATGAGGTGATGCTGAACCGAATGCTTGAACTAGCAGGCGTGGCTGGGATTGCATTGGAGTGGTTCCGTTCATTCCTTCCGGGTAGGTACCAGCTAGTGATGTGGGTGCAATGGACATTGAGGGCCTTCCCATATGGAACCCCATAGTGGTTCCTCATTCCCTGGTTCATGTTTAGTGGATATGAGGATAAGAGGGCAACTGGACACTCGAAGGCCAGGCAGTGCGATCTGAATGTCTGAGAAGAAGGTTATAAGAGTGATTTCCAGATTGACGTTGCTCACATACGTTATTTCTGTTTTGTCAGTGTGATAGCGTAGGCTAGCATGGAAACTGAGAAAGCGTGACTTGTTGGAAAGTGAAAATATGGGAGGCTCTGGTGTGCTTTCTAATCTCTCTGAATTAGTTTGTGTAAACCATGGCCATGTTTTAAACACAAAATTTATCTAATCATAAAAATCCCATTACGGTATTAGGTGGACATATTTTATTTTCCTTTCTGCTGTATCTCCAGAGCCTTCTTCCCTGTGAACATTGACTGCATCTCCATGTGTTCTCGCTGAAGTTTTAGTCTACCCATTCACCCTTTTGCTTGGGGCTGTTTTAAGCAGAGCAGCCTGACTGCATTAATAAATATTTTTGAGGCTGATGGCTGATTTTTCCTGGTGAGTGTTTTGCTTTATCTTCACTGAAAGCACTTCATTATTTTGTCTCTTTTACTGAGAATCAAATTGAGTTGTACTTTTAAGGAATTTTGCAGTATAAATACTGCCTTTTCTTCTCCTGAAACTACTCAAGCATTCTAAGTTTTTACAAGGAATATGCTAGCATTTCTTCAGTTT